GCACGCGCAGCACGTGGCATTAGCTGCCAAATGTCAGAGCGAACGCGCCGCCCAACGCCGCCCGCTCCGAGAAAGGGCAGTGCCGAGCGCCCACCCCCGCTTGGCGTCGGCGCTGCGGACGCCCCGCCACATCCCGCAACTCCGCTGTCATCTCGCTCACAGAACTCGAAAGGCAAAACGGCCGTCACTCTATTCATAACGGAGTTCGTGCACCCTCGAGCGTTGAAGCACTATAGATCTGCGCACGCGCAGTGCGCAGTTCAAATTTCGTGTCACTGTAGTGCATTTGTGCATGCGCAGAAGAGCGAGAGTTCTGCCGCTATAGAGTGCACAAACTCCCTATATTGAATTTTGGTTGACAATTTTTTGTTTTGTATGTTTACGTGGATGCGTATCGCCATCGAGTAGTTTTATATCATCCATGCAAAATTAGAAGTTAATCTAATTGTTTTAGTGCTGAGCAATGTATTTACCTCGCCTTCACTCTAAACTCAGGGTCCCCAAACCTTTCCTTACTTGGACCCATTTAGAAACCATGATACGCTTCAACAACCACATTCAATTTTTTCTATACTCTACAGCATACGGATATATCATGAATAATTTAACATAACCGACTAAAACAATCATTAGACCAATATAAACAATGTTTGAATAAATAGGTAGTTTTATTAATTGTTTGCACTATTATTATTATTAAACTTACAAACATAAACAAGTTTTTAAAATAACAGATAATTGCGAGTTTTATTTTATTAATGCAAATGATGTGCAAGTCCAAAATATGAGCGAATTTGTAACATATTATTAGGTGTTTTGTAGGTATATAAGTAAAAATTAAATAAAATTAATAAATATTTCTATAATCAATGGCATCTTGATCTTTATTAACCAGCAAGTCGTCGGTACAGATTTGGATATCGACCTCCAATCCATCCCTTGATCATTATCGACCACCTTCAAAATGTCATTGACTCCCGGGGGTCGATACCGACCGCTTTGAGAACCCCTGTTCTAAACTGAAAAGTTGACTAGTGTCCTTTGCCTCAAGCAGTTTGAATTATATTTATTCCAGTGGCTTTTTCATAAAAAATGTCAAAATTACTAAATACTATGGGAAGATTTTACGTGTATTTAAATTCTTTAAATCATCCCATAAAGAGCTGATACGTTTTTCGTATACGAATACGTCTTTCGAAGATCAAAATTCGTAACTGGCAATAAAGGATTCAATATAGAATGCTGCGGTTGCGGTAGTGTAGAGCGTTGAAAACGAATGAGGAACATATTTATTTTAGGAGATTTGATGGGAACAGGCTGTTGGGAAAGAAGGGCCGGAATGGACTGTAGACATGGCTAACTGTAAACAGCGAAAGGATAAAGGGACAAGGAGTAAATATTCTGTGTGGGGGAAATCGGACACCCCTGCGAGTTACATCTGTTTACATGCAAATGCTTTTTTAAACAAAATTTAAACTACGTAGAATTAATTTCATATCAGGATGCACTTGAAAAAGATTTCTCTTTACATTCGTTTTATCTCGCGTGCACAGAGTAAACAAAACACTAAAATAAAGAAATAGAACAAGGTTGACGTATTTCGGCCTATTCTTTCTAAACAGAAGGATGCTCCTCCACCGATAAACTCAACAAGTAATATTGACGTATGACATTCGTACTTCACCGTCAATGTTTGTGCAGATGTAGACAGTGGTGATCGAAGCCTCCCAGAAACTATTTATTGTCATTAACCACTTCCTTTTTTTCCAGTACTGTCCTCCTGTACGACATTCAATATAAAAAATTACGGAACTTCGCTCATTAAATTCTCACAGCGAAGCCTGAGGAAAAAGCCTTACTAAATGGAGAACCTCTGACAGCAGAAATATACGAATACAAATTACTGTTAAAAACGGAAGAAAGTCGTCTACTGAAGTACTTCCAATTAATAATCCTAGATTATCATAAATGACATGTTTTGCTTCGAACATTACGAACACTTTCTGAAGTGCTACCTACGTGCATTTATTAAAGTAAGAGCATAATTTTAACCAACACGCATATTCCCCCAGAATGTGTTACAGTTAGATAATATTGTTTTTGTAAAACTATCGTACCTATGTAACTCTTAGAGATAAAGTGTCCCTGTATAAAATAATTGCGGGAGTAGACTGACAAGGAACGAGGCAAAAATGATAGCAGTAAAGATTGTGTTTACGCTACTCCGCAGTTTCCCGACTTAAAATATCGTTTTTGTTTATTTGTTTCTAGATTATAGGTACAAAGAGGTAGGCAGTTACGAACGAGGAGATTAAAACTAATATTTTACTTGCGGTCGAGAAAGCGCAACTGGATGTACCGAAGTTTCAAACAACCGTCACCACGATGAAAATGACAATCATTAACACGCAGTAGTATGACAGCGCTGAACAAAGGATTTCGTAACGACCAGGTGTGGAGGTTCCGAGTATTCTATCATGGCACTTGCACGGGAGGAGACACACCGCACTCCCTTCACCAACACCACAGCCCTCGAAACCTTAAGCCGTGTCGGATCACTATTAAAAGGTCTCTGATGACGGAGGGGGGAGTGTAATACGCCCAGTAATGCACATGTGCACTACGTTCTGCACGGCTCGTGCTCCGCAAGGAAGCCATTAAACACCTGGGCTCCTTAAGGTCCCCTCACGACATTAATAGCGGACACTCTAGTTTCACTTTCTCCGCCCGTGTGCAACTTTATCGCCTGCATACAACCGCGGTCGGTGCATTGTGCGGCACGAGCCCTCCATAAAACAAGGCGCATACAATACGGCTTTTAACTTTTTGTCTCGCCGCACTCCCCTCCAACCCCTACATACACACATACATACATACATACACACACACACACACACACACACACAGCACGCCGCTCGCTAATTGAGAGTTGGCGAAGGGCCACTCCATCGAGCGGCGGTGTACCCAGGCGTGACCGCGAATCAGGGCTAAACAGCGCCTCTGCAGCGAGCCAGTCCACACACAGGTGGAGTAGACGCCTTCCACGAAGATGACTCAGCGGGGAAAAACACGTATTGAATGCTCACGTGGCCATGCCTTGTGTGTGCTTTGCAGGCTGGTGGAGAAGGAACATGCATTTGGAATATTTTACAATATTAAATAAGGTATTCACACTACGAATCCTCACATTTTGACAATTATGGGTAATCATTTTGTTTATAATCAAGATTCAAAACAAGGAGTCAGTTACACGCTTGATCGATCTATTATTCGGGGAAAACTCAAAGTGCAACAGTCAGTTCAAGTTTAACAATTCAACAACAGTTCAATTTTAACAAAAAGTGTATAGTAGTGTTTAAAAGTAATTAAAAACGCAGTGGTAATTTATTATTCTAAAATGAATCATAACATTCCTATCATGATATGCCATTATACGATTGTTCATTAAAAAACTATAGGTTACACGAGATGCACGTAGTTAGAGATCTAACGAGATGAAGGCATCTACGGTAAAAGTAATCCTGATTAACGAGCAATAAATTTATTATGTCATTTCGCAGCTGCAAATGTTAAGATAATTACATTACACAGAGAGGAAACGAACATTTACTACATCCGCTTTGAGAAGGGAGCAGTAAATACCCCGATTTAAAACCAAAACATGACGTTCAATTCTTATAATTCATTAGTGGAATAAATTAACATGCACACGATACGAAGTAAGCATACAGATCAAAAAGCCGTTATCACTCTAGATCCAAATTTCAATAATGATTAAATTCCGATCGTTTACCTTCGATATAGTAAGTGTCAAGACGCTAAAGCAAATAAATATTATGAGTTTTTACCATATAATCGAGATGAAAACAAATCAACGTTTTAACTTGATTTCTCAAAATCTTAAACAAAACGACTTCGTCAGTCGCTAATTATCTTGTCACACTTCCCTTTTAGTGAAGTTGCATCCTCCACCCCCCCAAAAAAAAGCTCGCCACAACACATGTTCACATTACATATTATTGCAGAAGTAAGTACCTCCGTAATCAGGTACGTGCAAGACATATTCCAATCGCGCAACACCTACCACACCAAATCGCGTGCCACCGCGTACGCAAATTCATTCCGGAAGGCCGCCACCCAAAACGGAAACCTCGCAATCGGTTCACTCGCGGGGCACCTCACGCGGTAGAGCCAGGCGCGCCGCCACAACGGCGCGTGACCTCGCGGCTAATGAAACCGAATCCGCGCTCGCGGCAGTATGTTTCCAGGCGCGCTCAAGGGCAAGGCCATTCGTCAGGGCGGCAGCCGCTTGGACGCGCGCGCCCTTTCCCGTTTTCAGGCGCGCCCGCCGCGGCGGTGCAGGGTGAGCGGTGAGCGGTGAGCGGTGCCCGCCGCCACCCGGGGGCGGGGGGGGGGGGCGAGGCGCCTCCGGTTTCCCGGGTTGCGTAAGGCGGACCGCGTCGCCGTGCGTTCGCGCGGCGCCCTCTAATTCGCGTCGCGCCGCCGCACCGCGCCCTGCGGTGTCTCTTCCGGCGGCGAGGCTGCCGGGCGCTCGACTTCGTTCTCATCTCGCCCGCCCCGCCCCGCTCAGGCCCAGAGGCGTCAGCGCGCAGAGAAATAGTGGTCAGTCGGCAGCGCACAGTGCGTCACACGCCGCCCTGACCCCACCCGCCCCACTGCCCACCGCAACCAACTTGGGGCAACCGCCGTGAGTGCTTCGCCACCTTCGCCACCATCACCACCACCCACCATTTCACCACCATTCATCACCAACCACCATTCACCACCACCACCATCATCACACCAGCGTCATCACCACCACCATCATCACCACCGCCACCGCCGCCGCCACATCACCGCCGCCGCCACCCACATCACGCCGCCGCCAACCATCACCGCCCCACGATACTAAATATCTCTGGATACTACTTAGTCCCCCGTCGAATGCTTCGCATTCTGAATACCCCGCACTCAGGACCCGGGTAAGTCCCCCTCCTATACTTATCTGTAAAGTGTACGGAAAATGTTTGCACGTGTTGGTGTGTCAGCAAGATAGAAAGAAGGCACATTTGATGGCCGGTCGTAGGGCGAAGAGCATATTCCACTCTACACCCTTTTCTCCACCGTTCACCTGTCTGCTACTTCCCAGCCTCTGTGCCATTGCCAACGTCCTTCCTCTCACATCTGACCGTCCTCAATCCACTGCTCACCGCTTACTCTATGAACGGTTGCATTTCTCTCCCAATTATCGATTTACTACTCTCAAACAAATCTCGACCACTTCACCGTTCCTGCACCCGCCCGCCTCTCCTTTCCTTTTTCCTTTTTTTTTTTCCCATAACTGCTCACCTTTCACCTTGCCCCTCAGCCTCCACTTGCCCTTTTCTCGCCACTCGCGCGCTAACTGCACTCCCTTTCTCCGGCAGCTCACCAATTACGTTCGACTTGCGCCCCGCCCACCGCTCACCGATACCGCTCACGATAACCGCTCATCGATAACCGCTCACCGATAACCGCTCACCGATAACCGCTCACCGATAACCGCTCACAAAGCTCATCGATAACCGCTCCACCGCTCACCGTAACCGCTCACCGATAACCGATAACCGCTCAACCGATAACGAATAAGCCGCTCACGATTAACCGATAACCGCCACCGATAACGATAACCGCTCACAAAAAAGATAACGAAAACCGCTCACAGATAACCGATAACCGCTCACGATACCGATAACCGCTCACGATAATCGCTTTACGATAACCGCTCACCGATAACATCTTCTCTCTTTGGT